GAAACAAGGACTAATTAAACCAGCATATCCGGGGTTGTGCCCGGGGCATCCAATGAGGAAGCCCTTTCAAGGGTTACTTCATGCCCTATTGGCTCGAAACACGGCCATTGTGTGCATCGTTGTTGACTAACAATCAAATCATTGTGGGCTTTTGCATTCATCTCTTCTAATTGCATTCAACAACCACTTGTCATGATGGAAGCGGTATGGGGCGGCCAATCTTGCTTAGGTACTTACTCGATTCAGTGACATGGCGGATTTTCATAATTGGATCCTTCAGAGGCCTGTTTTTGTATCACATACCAAATGGAATAGATCTGAGGGATGTGATATGCCAAAAGCAAGTTTTTGAAAATGTCGCAGGAACTACCCAGCAAGCACAAAAACATCTCAGAGATGTTAAAAGTACGAGATTTCGAGACATTGAACCTCCACTGCGATGTTCTGTTCACACATGAATAGAACTATTATAGAACAGCCAATGTCCGCCGCAGGCGGCAATTATCGAGATGTCCTTGATATGTCACAAAACTACCTTCTCCCTAGTTCTTTTTGAAGCCTTTTCATGGACACAACAAAACATTTTCAACGCGTCTTGCGCACATTAAATCATTGTAAAAAAAAACCATTTTTCTAATTTTGACATGTAATGTGACCCTTTTCAAAACTGACGGAAGTTTTGAAACGTCTTACTTCACGTAACCAGTTGCGCAAAGTGAAATTTTACATAACTGGTGATGTAATGTTCATTTCATTCATTCATTTCACACAACAAGAGTCGGCAGAACTCATGTAAAACTGGTCTTTATTTTTGTTCATGCGAAATGTTTCGTCAAAATTAGAAAAAATATTGTACGTGACACGTTAGGAAACGCCATTTTGTGTAACTCTGTGATGTTGCGGGATCTCGCTTCGCTCGTTACACAAAACAACGCGTTTCCTAACTGATTACGTAAATATCTATGTACTTTTCTGAAGCCTTTTGTCAAAATGAACTTTTGCTTAGGATTCCATTTCCCTTGAATGAAAAAATGCATTAAAAATAGATTGAACATAAAAATATTTTCTTGATTTGAAATGCCCTTCTTAATCGGTTTCTGAGTAGTGCTCACTACACACAGACATATGATTGGAAATAGGTTTCCCAATTTTTGAAATGTTCTCCACAATGCATAATTTTGCAACTGCGGAGAAGCTGTGTATTGATAAATTCGCACTTTTATATATTGATTACACTGAGGCACCGAACAACATATCTTGCATCTGATGGTCATTATCACAAACTAAATGAGTCTTCTAACACAATAAACTTCACCAAATTCTTTTCTGTTCGTTAGCAGCGTGATGTAAGCGTGACACGCTGCAAACGCTAATGCCAATTGCGAACAAGAAGAACAAAATCGAAAACAAATCAAAATTCATCGTATTGTGACATAAGCATGAGACGTTGTGGTGAGGCAAACAAAGAAAGGGCACAAAGGAACAAAAACAATACTTTCAATATCCTCTCAAGACCTCTTTGGGAAGTGCATATTACGCCTCAAAAAAACATCCTCATGCCTACATTTGTAAAACATCCCAAAACATCCCAGGGATACCTCTCAGTAGGCAAACAAAGAAATGCCACAGAAGAACACAAACAATACTTCAATATCCTTCAAAGACCTCTTTGGTCAGTGCATATTACGTCTCAAAATAACATCTTCATGCCAACATTTTCAAAACATCCCAAAACATCCCAGGGATGTTTGTGCTCGCTGGGTAGTTTAGGAAACATTCAATGAAAACAATTCTGATTTTGAGTTTACGAGGGCACTGGATGGAACTAACTCGAAAACCTATTTCTTTTATTCTTTCGTTATCAATTAGAATTGCAAGATTATTCTGACAATTGAACTAAAAATTATTTTATTTTCAATGCATTGGGCATGGAAAGTTGTTGCACCAAATTGCATCATTTTATCACATAGCTGTTCGCAAAAAAATATCATCTTCATTTATCATTTATCGACTCATGTCCATTGAAACTTTTCTTCCTATTCTTCATCGTAGTCACCGCTGATGAAGTTTGGACGGCTAATCTCGGGACACCCTGTATAGAACATGTGTTCTCAAAAAAGTCCCGGTTACATGTTAGACATTTTTATAGTGAAGTGAAGTTGAGTAATATAATATATAGTTATAGGAATATTAGTTTCAATATATTTGTAGTGGGACGAATCAGATGATTTGCCCCAAAATGTCACTGCGTTTAATAAATTTTTCTATCAGGGAGTTTAAAAAAAAATCCAGTAGCTTGTCAGTGACAATTTGTTTGAAAAAATGTTTGAATGTAAATGCAAAATATTTTTCTTTGAAAGTTGTGCTGTTTATAGTTTGACACTTTTCAGTGTCATACTGATGTTGACATATGAATGAGTGATTTTAGTCTACAAATGAGTTACAGGATGTTTTCATCAATTGATCTTGAATCTACCATGTTCTATCTATATCAACTGAACAGGAAGCAATGCTATTGCATGTCTCTGTTTAGAAGAACGCAAGCGGATTCCTTGATTCTATTTTTTTTTTTTTTTTGTTATCTTCCTTTCTAATTAACTCATTTGTTGACTAAAATCACTCATTCATATGTCACATCAGTATAACACTGAAAAGTGTCAAACTATAAGCAGCACAACTTTCGAAGAAAAATATTTTGCATGTTGAGAACGTGAGCAGATTCGGTCCCGGAACGTCCAAAGATAAGTAAAAATTCTATATTTCTTCAATATATCTATATTTATTTCCTTCAAACATTTTTTCAAACAAATTGTCACTGACAAGATACTGGATTTTTTTTTTAGGCTCCCTGATAGAAAAATTTGTTAAACGCTGATTTGTCCCACTTCAAATATATTGAAATAATACGAATATTTTTATTTTACAGAAACGAGGACAGAAAATCCCAAAGAATCAACTCGAGAATCAAGTAAAATGAATGTAGCACCTCCTCGATAAACCTACAGACAGTATTAAAACAAAGTTTGTTTTGATGTTTTCATTAACCTTTTAGTTTTGAAATGGAACCCCTAATCTAAATGGTTTGTGACCAAACTCTGAACTCGCCTGCCATGGCTTATGAAGACACTACCAATTATGCATGTGTTACTGTTATCACAACTTACCAATGGACTGAAATGATGTGACTTATCTCGAAAAGGGTTTTGTACCGACCCAAAAATTGTGTATTTTTATCTATATAACCGATCAACTGAAAAATAATATATCTACCTAAATTTCATTATGTTGTGCAAATGGCACCTTGTCATCATGTGTGGTTTTGATTTACATCGGGTATGATGAATTGCCAACGAAAAATTTATACTCATTTTATACATTTCTTATAGCAATATGCGCTCATTGCTATGCAAGAATTCAGAATTTCCATTTTTTATAGAACGTTAAACTATGAATATCAGATATATAAAGATATAAACTTATGAATAATTTAGATTTTATCAACTCTTCCTAATCATTAGAGGATTGGTTAAATTTATCTACTCGACCTTTAACCCTGAAGTGGTTTTTGGCAGTTGTGATACGGTATACCAACACTCGTCCTCAGAAAACATGTTGGAGATGGATGGTATCAGCTCTCTAAATCACCCATAAATCACCTCTGCAATAAGAGTGTTTACACCATCCTATCACGACACGTTCTCTGAAGACGAGTGTTCGCCTTTCACGATTTTATTCAAACAAGGAGAAAGCAGTCATAGACACATGCGTGCCAAATTCGATAATCATAATATATTTATTATTAGGTAGGTAGGTATTCAGAATGATAATTATAGAAGCGATACCGTTTTCCTGCAGGATATGGCAATTTTCGACAGCTTCATTAGGTCTTCACCTCATGACTTCAATAATTCCACTCAGGAATGAGTAGAATGAGCTTTCCTTATCTTGAAATTGAATTGGAATTCATTTATTCAATCCTATGAATTCATGTTACCATTCATATTATCTTACGAAGGATTTCCATCAAGTAGAAATGGATTCATGTGTATAATTGCTATCAGTTTTAATCCATATGTTAGATGTTTCGGATGTATCCATGTTAGTATTATTTCAATATATTATATTTGAAGTAAGGACAAATCAGATGATTTTCCCAAAATGGCGCTACTCGCTTGAAATTCCACTATTGAGAACCTGAAGAAGAAATCGAATCGATAGTTAGTGACACCTCGTTTGAAAAATGTTTGAAGCAGAAAATAATTGCTTATCACTAGATACTTATTCGTCTGTTCTCGAACCCTCTCGAAAATTATGGGTTGTTTCATCATTGAGAAGCAGAAACGTGCCAAGGCAAAACTCAGGCGACATAACTAGAAAAGTGAAACAAGGTGAACTATGTCGAGAATTTTCAAGATTTCTTGATTTCTTGGGATGGTCATGTCATTTTCGGAAAATATTGTGTTACTTTGAAAACCTGCACCGTGATTATGAATAATTATTTTGAATGTTGATTCTATATCTCCATCAAATGATATTTTTGTTATCAGTACAGTTGTTTAGATATGAAAATTGGCTTCATTTCAGTTCGAATTGAGGCGAATGACCAACAAACTCGAAGTGACGGGAGACATTCGATATTTGTACTATTCTGAAGGATATATTGTGTAGTCGTCGAAAAAGTATAGTACATTTCTCGAAAAGCAATTACGCACTTGTGGAGTTACACAACCATCGTGTGTAACTCTCTCCGCTTCGTGCTTAATATGCGTTTTGCAACTCTTGTTATGTAATATACTATAATGGAAACTGAAAGCATACATCTCTTGTTTCTTTTTTCTGTGATGAATTTAGCCTTCACAAAACTCCCTAGCATTCTATATTCATCGCTTCAAATTCAGAAATATATACCCAGTATTTATAATTCACACAAATAACTATTTGAGAACTACAAATCGTTTATAAATTTTATCATATTATTATACTCCTACATTTTGTTACAGGCAGCTAGGTTTACCCAGTGCAATAGAAAATTCGATAGATCTGGCCCCAAGTGAACAAAAGGAGACTTGTATGAAGCTGGACTATTTCTCAGAACCACAAAAAGAGATTTGCTCCAGATACCAAAAGATCTTACCAGTGAGTATTATTGCAATCGAATGCATATTTCTGCTGTGTCATGTACTCATATATGCCGAGCACTGAAATATTAATCAATGAAAACCAAATTTTTTTTTATTCTGGAATACACGAACGTTCGTGGAACATCGTGCGAGAATTGAGAATTTTCTTTTTGAGAATTCAAGTTTCTTCAGGCACGGTTTTCGAAGCTTTGCTGTTCTATTGAGAATAAAAATGATCTGAACATATCCTTCCTGAGGTGAGTGTGGGCTACGATCCAATGGCCTTCTTATTGCCTCAAACCATTAGTTTCCCTTCTAGAATCAATATAGAATGAGTAAACGTTCAATCCGAATCAAGCCTGCACTCAAATTATTTTTTATATCTAGGAAAAGGGATTACCTATAATGTTCTGAGAACATCGTGCATACCTAGGGAGGATGAGTTGAGGAAGTAGGTATTGGAGTTTTATTGAACTTTTGGAGATTATATAAAATATTGGGAATACCACATCTGAATGAATATTAGATTAACTGAGGAGAGCAAATTCAAATAATGAATTATTTATTACCCACAAACCCACCGATGAAAAGGAATATCTTTGGAATTAGTTTATGTGAAATTCATACACCAATAAAGAACAAAGCATTTCATCTCTCCGGTAACAAAACGAAAAAATCAATGCATCAGTACACTTGAAATTTTGAAGCCGACGCCTATGAGTAAAATAGATACTCGCTGGATTTCAATACCACGTCAAAGTCATGAACGACAGATTTAGGGTTTCTGCGCATGCATTGAGCAGAAGTGTTTTCAGGCGAGCCATTTACCCCACATTTTCGGGTTGCTGGGATATGGACCACTAGCAGTCAGAGCAGTTAAGATAGTGTTTATGTCACTATCCTTTATTGCGGGTTGTGGCAGATTTTTGGACGTTATTTCACCCAGTATGCCTTTTGAAGGGTATCATTATGTATATATTCTGATGCTAAAAAATGATACATGAAAGAATCCTTCCGGGATCTTCATGCATTTAAGCATGTTTTCAATGTTTAGGTGTATTTGGACATGCGCAAACGGTATGCCATTTCTTCCGTAGCATATGTATAGCATAGACTGTTGGATTCTGTCTAAAAGGGTAATTCGTCTCGTGGGTGATGCCTCGCTCACAAACTCACTCACTTCTCTGGAACACCGTGGAACAGTAGGCAATCTGACTCTATTGTATATACATTTTCATGGACAATGCTCTTCTGAAATATCAACAATTGTTCCACCCTTGGCAGTCCCCGCGGGATTATCCCGTCGATTTGAGGCTTGCGCACCCCTTCGTGGTCACTTTAGAGACCTGCAGAACATCTCTTTCCAAAGACTCGTCCATCCAACAAAGAGCGAGACTCTGGAACACATTGCCAAGGGATGTGTTCCCCGGGGCATATAAACTCCAGAAATTCAAGAAGAACACCAATTCCTACCTTATTTCCCTTGATTCTCACGACGTTCTCTGAACATTACAGGATATCCCTGACCTCACGGCGCAACCAGAATGCCTTTGGTTGTATTTTCAACTATGCATATATCACTTATATTTCATTCTGGAACACAGGAAACACTTCATTTGCACAAATAATGTTGATTAATTTCAATGAATGATGAACCCGGTAGCATTGTTTCATATATCATTTTTTAACATCAAGATATGATCACTTCCGAAAATCTTTCACCACCTGCCGGTCTAATATAGGTACACATCCTGGTGAAGTTCAATACCGTTGGTATGAAATCGTTCAATTTGTTCACAGATTCTTGGACTTGGTGCCAGACTCGCCATAGAAGAGTGCCAAAACCAATTCTCGTTCAGTAGGTGGAATTGCACCACCTTTCCAGACAAAAACAGCACATTCGGAAACGTCGTTTCAATTAGTAAGTATGTTATATTATATTATCGGTCATTCTGAAGCAGTGAAGAAATGTCTTACTTCGATAATCACAAGAAAAAACACCTTTTTCCAAGAATACCTCTCGAAGAATTATAGATTTCTAGAACAAATTTCAGGAGAAACTTTTTGATTCAGGAAAAAACATCTTTCCAAGAATATCTCTCGAAGAATTATAGACTTGTGCAACGCAAAAGGACCCCGCACTAAACTGATGGAAATTAGTACCTGGTCAAATCCATGGGCACAAAGTCCGGAAATGCTCACATTCAGAGATACATTATGCCGACGTAAACGGACTCTCGAAAAAAAAAGTATTCATTCCGGGCTGAAAATGCTATACTCGGGGTAAAATTGTCCGCTCTTTCCGGTTTTGACAAAAGTATTCAGCTACAATCCTTCTGAGAGCGGGAAATCGTAAAAAAACGTAAGCGGACAGAATCATTGAAAAATGCCAGAATTGCTGTCAGAAATGGAATAAACCATAAAATGGGTGAATGTTATGTTCTCGAGACTTCTGGCGAGTTCTGAACCACCCCTTTTCCTCCGGGGATGTGGATAGGGTGGAATTGGAAAATTACATGGGAAGTTGTTCAAACAGTGGAAAATAGTACTCGTTGGTTTTCGGGATCGCTGATTTCATTACCGGGTTCTGTGATTACTTATGCACCCCCTAAGGGTAATCTCATGTAATAAATTACCACCCATCGTGAAGATCCATTTTTTACCCCTAGCGTCCCCCAGTTTCACCTCCGGGGGGCGGGCACAAATGAAAACTGACCCCAGAAATGGGATCAGTAACTCATGAGTACTATCTGCCACCTGTCATATTTTTGAACGATAATTATGAGACACAGATATGTTTTACAAGAAATGGAATAAACGAGTACAGACATACCATTATTTGAAACCCTAACAGTGGCGTAACACCAAAGGCACATAATACTAATTTTGTAGTTATATCGATATTATATCAATGACTGTATTTCCATGAAATGAATATTGGAATTTGAAGCTTCAACGAAGTCTTGAAATGTTTTCGCGTCTTTGTGCAACTCAAATATAAATTGTAACCATCATTTTCTTAGAATTTTTGCCATTCGTTACCGAAGAAGACATATTCGATAACATTTTCGCGGAGACGCCTATTCAATTTTCAGAAGGTGCGTTTTAAATCTTGGGAATGATGACAATTCGGAAATATCAGAGGCGACAAGCGGGTCCACACTCTAAAAAGCGTGTAATGAGATGTTTGAGGCACCCTAAACTTTATAATTCACGACAAATATCAATACGGGTCATATTTTGGCAAATATATCTCACCAATAAGTCTATCAAACAATGTCTCAGACTGTATTAAAAATGACCGAATGATATAAATATTTTATGATCATATCAAAGAAAACATTAAGGCGGGCCTTTCGCGACAGCTTTCCGACCGAATATAGCCTATATATATATACTAGTTCAACAACTATTTCTAGGTGTCAGTGTGATGTCGAAATCGGAATAAAATAATTAAATTACAGCTTTCACAGCTATTGTAGAGTTCTTCGATTTCGTCTGTTACAGCAGGTCACCAATAGGTGGCACACAATTGAATGCAATCGTATAGGTATTTGTATTATGTACGTGCAGTGTTGCCAGAGCTACTGCTCCACGGGCCTGCTCAACATGATTCCACTTTTCACTCCATTCAAGTCAAGCAAATACCTATATCTCGCTACAATGAAAATTTATGTCATGAGTCATTTTTGAAACTGTCTTCACAAGTAGTCTTTCGAATATTTCTTTTCCTTTTTAATTTCATTTCCTACTAATATAAATAATCATTATTGGCGTCGCCGGAAAAACTTCCAAGGATGGGGATCGAAATCATTGTTCAGGGCAAAATACTCAAAATAGTCTGTGTAATTCAGAAATAATGTGTGCAAGATTTTTTATCAAGTTCAGATGGCTATAAGTAGAAATTTTGTGTTTTCTGTATAGGGTATATACGTAGACGATTGCCTATAGTTTCAAATATCTTCATTCTTACGAATTCACACTGCTATTACTGATATAAGGGTTATATTGATATATACAGTGTGTAGAATGAAAGAAATCCTTGATTCAAATTTCATGTTCTCTAATTCAGACCTGCTTGCTGTATTACAAATTTCGATCATAATTGCACTTATGAAAAAACAATTTTTTCGAAGTGAGAACTTCTAGGCGCGTTGAGCACTTTTTTGGGTGGAGAAAAACATTGGATTTCGCGTCATCGTCACGACCCGTTCCGTGTCCCGTTATCGCGAGGTCAATGAATAGCAATAAATTTGAAGGGTGCAGTATCGCATCTCATCTTATATTATGTAGTATTTTGTAATTATGATTAGATTCTATTCTAAATTGGTATATGGAGGTTTTCGGGGTCGGAGATTATGATTCTTTCGTGAAAATTAGGATATTGAAAATGGCTGACGAGTTTTATTTATAATAATTATGATCCCATTCTATTCAAAATTGGTGTCTGGGGGTTCTCGGCGTCGGAGATTATGATTCTTTCATCATGGCTCCACCAATATGGCGCACGAGTTTCGTAATTATGATTCTATGCCATTTGAAATTTGTATCTGGGGTTTTTTGGGGTCGGAGATTATGAATCCCGAAATGAAAAAATTCAAGATGACGGATTCAATATGGCGGACGAGTTATGTGATGATGATTCTATCCTATTCAAAATTTATATATAAGGGTGTTTGGGGTCGGAGATTATGATTCTATCGTCAAAATTGGGAAATTCAGGATTGCAGATCCATTTTAAAGCAGACAAGTTTTCTAATTTTATTATCCGATTCTATTCAAAATTTTAACTGGTGTTTCAGGGGTCGGAGATTTTGAATCATTTGTCAAAATTAGGAGATTCAAGCGAACACCATCTCAAAAGTTTTTGTTAGTCTATCTTAGACAGCGAATGTTTTTAGGTAATAAAGTTTGTCGAGTTGATAAAAATTCTGTTTCATAGTGATAAAACAGTGTAAGTGGAAGATGTAAGTGGAATATGAAGTATCTACCTACGATAATTCTCTAAAACATGAACTGGATGTTCGATAACGTCTCCAAATGTCTCGAAAAAAAAGCGGCTGCTATATTTTCAAATATTTCGTATGTGGCTGACTTTCCTGTTGCCTCGCTTTTCTGCCCATTCTTATGAATTTTTGCGACATATCATTTGCAGCAGCTTGCAACACTGGCTTTTCAATTATTGATTATATGCCGGTTAGTTTGAAGTTCATCTGAAGTTCACGCAATTCAAAGTGGCACGTGGCGGACTGCGGAAAGACGGGGAATCACCGCGCGACCAATGAATATCCCCCCGGTTCGCAGGCTCCTCTTCCCCACTGGGCATACTGGGCGCGTGCCCAGGGCCCCGCGAGGATTGGGGCCCCCTATTCCCGATAGCTACTCTACTCTCACCTGAAAATCAGGCCTACCGAATGAAGCATGTTTAATAAATTTCTCTAAAGGAATTGAAACAATGCTAAAACTTTGCATTTCTACGTTATTTGTCTATGTATTCTAACGAAAGACTACTTTATTATGGTCATAGGGCCCCAATATTCTAATGTGCCCAGGGCCTCTAATAGGTGAAAGACGGTCCTGCCGGTTCGCCGCGGGAGGAAGAGAGACATATAACGATTTCTCGCTCAGTTTTGTTTTGTTGCCGTGGCGGTATTATCCTTTGTGAATATCGCCATATCAATGGATCCAAAATCTGAGAACTGTACTCTGAGAGTTCTGAGACGAATGTTTTTGCATGAGTTTTAGAGTGAAATAACCTGAACTTTTGACACAGATTAACAAAGCTTTTTGAAGTTTGTTCCACAACTGTGCCATTCCTATTATTTCCATCTATATGCTGACATAATTATCGATCTCATGAATAGAATTGAAGAAATTCTGCTGAATTTGTATGTTTATATTTTCAGGTCTACTTATATAATTATAATTCAGTGACAAATTCTAGGCCGTTTCAAACTACTCTATTTATTTTCTAGTTCTTTTTAGTTCAGTTCTCTATACCTCTTCATTTTTTCAAACTACTCTTTACCCGGCTGATGCCGGCAAACGTTGTTCTGCTATATACAATTATTTCCAGAAAATATGTTTTTAGTTAAATATTTATCAACATACTTATATTCATTTTAATTCAATTTAGAACAAACAAAAAAATTTGTTTTCTAATTCTTCTCCGACCCCGAAAACACCCAGATACAAATTTTGAATAGAATCGGATCATAACTACAAAACTCAGTTGCCATCCTCCATCTTCAATTTCCTTATTTTGATGAACAATCATAATCTCCCATCCCAAAATCCCCCATATACAAATTTGGAATGGAATCGGATTAAGTTACAAAACTCGTCAGCCATATTGAATCTGCCATCATGGATTTCCAAATTTTGATAAAAGGGTCATTATTTTCGACTCCGAAAACCCCCCGATACCAATTTTACATAGAATCTGATCATAATAATTAAAAAACTCTTCCACCATATTGGATCCACCATTTTGAATTTCCCCATTTCGACAAATGATTCATAATTATCTACGACCTCTAAAACCTCCAGATACCAATTTTGAATAGAATCTGACCATAATTACAAAACTCGTCCGCCATATTGGATCCGCCATTTCGAATTTCCTAATTTTGATAAAAAATCATAATCCCTGACCTCGAAAACCACCAGATACCAATTTTGAATGATATCTGACCAATCTGTTCTGTTCAGCACCAAAACATACGCTGATGCTCTTAGATTCCATCCAGAGAAGAGCCATTCGCCTGGTGGGTGACGCCACAATCACTCACTCTTTGACATCATTGGAACACCGTAGAAAGGTCGGCGACCTTTCACTTTTCTATCGATACTTCCACGGGAAATGGCTATCATCCCTCCACTAGCAATACCAGACGAAGTAGACAAGCCCAGTCAGCACATCCTTTCGTTGTCAACCTCGAAAGATGTCGAACAGCACTTTATCAAAACTCCTTCATCCATAGAACGGCTAGGCTCTGGAATTCAGTGCCCGAGGAAGTATTCCCAACAACATATAATCTCCAAAAGTTCAAAAAAAACTCCAATACCTACCTCCTGTCCCTATCCTCCCTAGGAACGCACGATGTTCTTTGAACATTATATGGATTTCCTTCCGTGCGCTCCAAGCGATAAAAAAAATAATTACAAAACTCGTCCGCCATATTGGATCCACCATTTTGAATTTCCTCATTTCGATGAAGAAATCATAATCTCCGACCTCGAAAACCCCCAGATACCAATTTTGGATGGAATCTGACCATAACTACAAAGCTCGTCCGCCATATTGGATCCGCCATCTTGAATTTCCAAAATTTGACGAAATATTCATAATCTCCGACCCCGAAAACCCCTGAGTACCAATTTTGAATGAAATCGGATAACTATACTCGGTCGCCATATTGGATCCGCCATTTTGTATTTTCTATTCAAAAAATAGATTACGACCGATTCTCATACCTACCGAATACGCACAAAAAATTTCATACGAATCGGTCGAGCCGTTTCGGAGGAGTTCGACCACTATGACCGTGACCGTGACAGGAGAATTTTATATATTAGATTTGTTCGTCTTACAAACACTCGGAGAACCTCCCCTTGAAATATGCCCAGATAATTGAATAATACCCTCTGTATTATCACGTCGCCTAGATTTCATAATATGTCCGAGTAATATGTATAACATTGGCAACGGTGTAAACGGGTTTGAATTCATCATATCTCCTAAGCGCCATCTGCTTGCAATACAATGCACCATTCCTCTCTGCCGCAGTCTGTCATTTCGAACACTGCCATCTCTCAGGTAGTGCCTGAACTACCACATCCTAGTTTCCTGCATTATATTCTTCCAAGAAATGGAGTTTACCGAGATCAGCTGGGATGAATGGATATTTTGTTGACAGAATAATCGTTTTTGTTGCTTCCTGTCCGAATGGAAACATTTCAAGAGCTGATATTTCAGTGGCACCTCGCCGAATTTCCAACAATTGTACTGAGATCGAAAATATTTCAATTTGAGACAAAAAAATTTCAATGTTTACGTTTTTCAAAAATCTGTATCTTCTATAAATAAATGAGTTTCGACTCCGTATGATAACCAGGCCCTAGTCCCAACCTTCTTCTTTACGATGATTTAATCAGTTTTTCAATTGAATCATTCATAAGCCCAAATAGCAACAACTAGTGCAGGCCTGCATGTCGATTTGGTTGAAACTCTCCTCTTAAACAAATAATACTTGATTCAAACCAATGCCACGAAAGGAAGGAGGATGATCTAGTCCTAAGAGCCATCTAGTGGCAAAAGTGCAAAGCTGTATAAGTAGATTGTTTGAACAACCATACCTTGCTAGTAGGTCGAATATAGACCCCTACGTCGATATTATTACAGAAAGGCAAAAATGTCACAACTCTGCAGACACCGGAATTCTCACCGGAAAACAGGGAAATGTAATTAAAAAAAGTCAGATCACTGCACGATAATACCTTCAAACATAAAAATTTTTCAATTATAATAAATCGAACTCATGTCTAGGAATCTTCAATAATATTCCATAGGACCTCTCTAAACTATCGTGATTAGTAGAAGCAGAGATTGTAGAAGATACACAGCACAGTACGTTATTTGACGGCATTTTTCAGGAAGCAGAGAAGCAGCATACATTTCCGCAATATCAGCGGCTAGCGTAGCTTATGCAGTCACCAGAGCATGTTCTAAAGGCGATCTCTCAGAGTACTGCAACTGCGATAACAAGATAAAGAAGAGGAAGTCGCAGAAATTCAAATGGGGAGGCTGCTCAGACGATATCAAGTATGGCGAAGGATTTAGTAAGCAGTTCTTGGACGTCCGGGAAGATCCCAACACAGCACTGGGATTAATGAATCTTCACAATAACGAAGCTGGCAGGCGAGTAGGTATCTCCTCCACTTTTTGAGACACTATTCATCATCATATTTTCTAATATATTGGCCACCAACTTATTTAGAGTAGTATAAATTGTCCTGAGTTGATGATTTTTCTTCTGTTTTTCCCATCCGAGGCTTTGGATTATACTATATAAATCATGAAGTCTCAAACTTGTTTGACGAGTGATTCATCCACTAGTCCAGGTGAGATGAACAACTATATTCTAAGCCATTCATTAGCTTTTGGTAAACTGGAACTTCGCAAGAGCATAGTATTTATATCTGCAGCTTCAGTTGCTTGATTTCATATCGCGATATTGACTATCGCGAATAACAGTGAATTAAATCTGAAATTAGTTGACGTTTCAATGACAGAATAATATAATAATTTTATATAGTAACCCGAACTTGATATAAAATTTAATATGAATAATAATACTGAACTAGTATCTGCATGCAACTACAATAGGTAGAAATCAAGAATTTGTAAACTAGGAATCTATTGATACCGAAACTAAATAAATAAATGAATTCTAAAATTATACAATTTGCAAACACGATCTGGTGTGAAATTTTCTCAACGGATACAACACGGGGTAAAATTATATATATAGAAAATAATTTAACCTCTAGTGGTATTTCAAGTGAAAATATAGTTATGAATTGAAGAGGTTCCTGGAATCATGTTTGTTTTCTTTCGAATCATAATAGTTCAAACCATAATAAGCTCATCTCAGGAAAAATACAAGAAAACATGTCGATGAAGTTTTATTATACACAATCTCTCTGTCTTTGTTGTATGTAAATTATCAGAAACATATGTATTTCTCCGCCAAAAACGATAAAAAGTCGATAACAACATTTGGAAATTGAATAAGTTCGCACAGAGAAAAACGGTCCAGGTACACAAGTACACTTGAGTAAAATTTAATACCCACAAATATATTAATGAACTTTTGTACCATTACAATAGGTGAATTTTTTTTTCTAATATCGACTTCCAGTGGCAGGTTAACTATGCTCCTGGAACAGGCCATCTTTCTTGTGCTTGATTAATTTTTATCGATGTGTTTAATACTCAGTATACAACAATCCACCTAACATTAATATAATTGTCCCTCAATCCTTGTTTCCTATGAGTGAAAGGAATAATTCTGTCATTATTACCAGTTTAATAACAACATGTAACAGTTCATTTGATTTCTCTGTTTCGTCATCATTCGGCTAGTTTCGAATACCCACGATTACGACACGAGCTGACTGCGCAACTGTTCTGCACTTCATTCCATTAATGAACTCTGTCTGTATCTGTACTAAGAATATGTACCTCTGGTGTTTGATGCGAACACTTATGCGTGCCTTTTTGTATTGTGGAACATTTGTGGTGTGCATGTAAGTTAAGTGATTGTGACTATTCCAAAAACATTGATCCCAGTGAAATTATCACTATGGAGCGACTAGCCCCAGGTCGAGAGTTGAAAAATAGAAGCAGCATGAGCAGTTCATCGACGACACTTTGAAACAGCAGGGTTTGGCGAAGTTTACGCAAAACTCTTCTTTCTTTCTTGGTGAGTAATATACCATTCCTTTTTCTCCGTGCAACAAGAAATCTTTTTGAGCACACACGTTTTTTAGTGATATGTTTTTCTCCTTCCGAAAATGATTCGAAACCCTCTAGTTCCTTATGTTGGTTGATCATTTGCAATTGATTGTTACATCTGATATTATATGTCCGTTTTATTCGTGGTTCGTGCCATATATTTTTCATTTGAAGATGTTATATTTTGAAAATATCTCCTATTTTGATTGTGACCTCTCAATATTTTCATCGAGTGTGCTCTATGGTGTCAAAATCTCAGTAGGAATTAAGTCACTTGTTAAGTAGTTCAAATTTTGTTGAAGATTAAAGAAATATATGATCTCAGAAAAATAAATGAATTGATCTCAAGTTATTACTGAAACAGAGGAGTTTTTATAGTTATATTTCACAAAAGCCGAGAAATAAATTGGGAAATATCAAAATGAAAAGACTCTCTAATGTTAATGTTTGCAAAAAATTCTTATTTCTGATAGTAGGTACACGGGAAAAATTACAGGAAACGAATCTTGATTTTTCTTATTCGGTGTCCCTGGATTTGAGTCAAAGTAGAGTTTTATAAAGAATGGCCTTACTTGGATGGGCTCACGGGACGTTCGCTACCTATTAAGAGTTTATCCTTTCAATGAAACTCTTGAAATAGGATTATTTGTTTGAATTTTCAAGAAAATAATAGGAGAAATTAAACACATTATATAGAGGAATTTTCAAATTTCAGGGTGCTGATGGTAATGATGTACCTGATTGGAACTTGATGCCACTTGATCTAAATTCAAGTGGACCTAGTACCCCCGCGGCTCGCAGATACTCCATCAACGTCTGAAATATATTTGTATATGAGTCAGTTCGACAACTATTTTATATTGAAAAAATTATTTCAAGTTCATTTATTTATGTAGTTTGTACTGAAATTACAAATGACTAAAATATATTATATAATGTCGTACCTATATTTTGTACAATGTTTTTTCTCTTCTATAGAATCACCATCCCCATTGTGTGATACCTTGAAAATATGAAATATTTCTTGCTCCAATATTCAACAATAAGCAGATATCCAAATTGAACGATATGCAACAGCTTTCAAAAATTGGTTCTGTAATGTTGATAAATGATGAACAGTTAACCAAAAATAATACCAAATGATTTGATTTTTCTCATTTATCATTTTTTGTTATTCAGGAATGAATGTCTATGGGTCTGCATCATCTCAAAAAGTGGACCAGAAATGATCATTCTGATTCATGATTTTCAATGTTTCTCACGGGTGCACTTGATACTCGTATAGACAATATCTTTAATTTTTCCTATATCCAGGCCATTGAAAATCAGGAATCAGAATGATCGTTTCTGAACTCCTTTTTCAGGTATGCACATTGAACATTCCCAATATTCCAATTGAATTGCACATCTGAGATAATTAAATTATGTTCCAGAGACGAGTAATTTATGATCCGAGGACAACTTAATAATGTTTCTGGAATAATTGTATTCTTCAATGGTAGTAATTAAAGGATGTACCTTAAATCAGTTAGATATATCCCAGAGAATATCACCTATTTTTCTGCAACAGCATGCTTTTTCACCTGTGGCAACTATATAGTATTGAAAATTTATTAAACTTTTGAATAACTATCATCGAAGTGTGCACCTACAACAGGTGAAGAAGTATGTAAGATGATATAGCAATGTTTCAAAGGGAATTACCTAATGTTCAATGGTAATTAAACTGTCTGATCAATGTTATTCAACACTTCAATAATCCTGAGTTGATGTTAAATCTATTCATTCATTAACGATCAATGAACTATATAATTGAGTGTCTGTTGCAGGTATACCAATTCAGGTAAAATATTTTATCTACCACTATCATACTGTATATCTGTCCCATATAGTATTCAAGTTTTTAACTGTGACTATCAAATGTTTAATAACCATTATTAAAGTTTTTTCTCTGTGCGGCTTTCTATACGAATAGTGACGTTAGTGGAGTTAAAGGAACCAATAGATGATTAGACACTTATCAGCACATAATAGTATGATACACAGGCTAGTGAATGTCCCTCTTTCGGAAGTAAATTTCAATAAAGAACTCAATAAGTATCATACAACAGATTGCAGTCAACAACGGGTACAACGTTAATTTGATAGACAGTATTATTTCTAAAAAAAAATCCATGAAGTAATTCAGGAAGTTTATCCTATACTATGGAAAAGAATATTCAAATTTATAGAAATTAGTTCGGATCATCAACTGAAAAATTAGCTTCATTTCTACATAAACAGGACTTAAAAGTAGCATATAGAACAAATAACACGTTGGAAAGGTTTATCACAATAAATAATAAAGACAAAACTTCTAAATTCGAGAAATATGGGGTATACAAACTCAACTACGAATACACATGTCAGGTGGACATAGATAACATCATACTGAACATTAGTTGAATATTGAAATATCAATAAAAATATAAAAATAAGTATATTTGCCTGATTATTACAGTTCTTGTCCTAAGGTATATATAGGTTAGACAGGTCGTACGTTCAATCAATGCATTCATGAACATAAAATGAATTTTTTGAAAGGAACAGAAAACAAATTCAATATTCGCCAAACATATAACAAAAGGAAACCATAGTTTTGATGATAATTTCGAAATTCTACACGTATAAATTACTTAGAGGAATAAAACTCGATCATTTTGAATCATTAGAAATCAACAAACTTAAAAATTCTGAAATTTTATTTAACGGTCAACTAGACCTCAATGGTTCACCACTGTTGAATACGTTTTCTCAGTAGGTATTTTCTATCAATCAAAAATGAAGATTTATCGAACCTGTCCACAGGTAATTCTAATCCTTCAGGGTTGGGAATGTAGGATATGCAAAAATTAGACAAGCCAAGGTTTGTTTAGTTCATTGTACCAGTATTTCATCTGATGAAGCTACTGTGTTAGCGAAACATGTCGTGTGATTGATAATTTTGAGAAAATCTTATCGTTTGTGAACTTTCTATATTTGCCATGGATTTCCATCAAGTAAACGGCTGAATCCTGAATCAATAAAAAAAATGCATTCTATTTGTGGGGTGTTTTCTATGATGAGAGTATTGCCGCATTCACACTTTTGGGGCAGTCGAAAGTATGTACTCATGCACCTCCGCCTTTTTTACAGGGTGTTCGGTCTCGAATGCACAAAACCTGCAAGTGCCACGGTGTTTCTGGATCTTGCAGCATGCAAATCTGCTGGAGGCGGTTACCGCCCTTCAGGAAAGTAGCAGAAGGTCTCTTCCAAAGATACGAAGGTGCCTCTCACGTCAAATTCGTCGAGAGGCGAAGAAAAAAACTGAAAGCCATCAGTTCAGATCTGAAGAAACCCAACAGAACCGATCTGGTGTATCTGGACGATTCTCCAGATTATTGCGAGAAAAACGACTCGTGAGTATCAACTTATTAGAGTTACTATCTCATTACAAAAAAGGTTGTTGGTCAGTAAACTAGGGTCGACTACCAATTCTGTTACTACTGAAACGTCTCATTTCCAAACCAATTCGATTCAAATTCAGCAATAACTGATCCAGTTTCTTCCTCTTCAATGGCCATGGACATTTTAGTTGTAAAGTCACGCACAAATTGAATATTCACTTAATATTATTTCAATACTGTTTTTTGTGAGACATTCCAATAATAGCGAGACTAATATGTCAAAAATGTTTATGTAAACATGTATTTATCGATAAAAACATTGTTTCTTAGGATCAGGGTCCGGCAACAGGATTGAATGTGGGATGTTTATAATTCCTCTGATGTGCCCACTCTTCAATTATTGTTTCATCAGACTAACTCTCGATATGAACAATTGAATGCCAGTTCGGAACCTGGGTTTTCTTATATCCGATGATAGATGGTGTGAACGATGGAAAATTCTTTGGAAACTTTCAAAAAGCTTATTATGAAGTTGAACTAAACTTTCGAAGATGTGTTTTCATGCTTTCGGGACCGGAAGAGCCCCTTTGATGATGCACGAATTCAATGATAGCTGAATAGAAGCATCTAGAGACAGGACGCAAGTAGGAAGTGATAATACCATTTATTTTGACTTTCTATACATCTATATTGAATTATTTTGAAAAGGTTGCTGTGGAAAAACTGTTTATTTGACAAACGGAAATAGTGATGAAATTATATAGTTTATCATTGAAGGTTATTGTCTGTTACAATGGCAAATTGGCCGATTAATCAACGTGACATTCCCAGTGCAATTGAATGCCGAATTGCAGCATGTGTTGGAATCCGTTCAACGGCTACTCTGGTTCATTCAATATCACCTTGTGTACGAACTGTACGTGTACCTCCCATCTCAAAATTGCATTTCTTGATGGGACTCCAACGCGCACTGCGAAATTGAATTCACTGCGAAGACGCCTCTGGAATTGCACAATGGACTGGGTCAGGATAAATGATTTTACAGCAAAGATCCGTTGATTAACCGGCCAATTTACCATTATAACACAAAACCTTCAATAATGAACTACAATTTTATCACTATTTGATGTATGTATAATAAACAGTATATCCACAGCAAACTTTTCAAATCCATGCAATCCTGTTGTCAGACCCTATATATTTACCCTCGAAAAACTGATCATATTCATGGTTCTTTAGGTAATTTTGCACTTATCAAAAACACGAATTTGATAATGAAAATGTGAACAAACCACTATTTATCGAGATATTTCACTATAAATTTACAAATTCCGCCTTCTTTTCCGCCTGTCTTCTGGATCCCATTTAGAATAATTTGCCCTTCTCTTTCCATCATTGGACAATTTATACAGTGCTAGTCAACAGTCCCCTCCCCCCCTCGTATCTTTTGAACGGGTATACTGGTCACAGTGGCCTTGTGACGTCATTTATGACTATTGCGTCACCTGTTATGACTATAGTTGAGAAGCCTACATCCGTTTATTTCCACCCTCCAAATTTCATTATTATTAGTATACCCGTTCAAAAGATACGAGGGGGGGAGGGGACTTTTGACTAGCACTGTATATATCACACAATGTTAGACACATTTTTTTTATTGTATGAGTCAACTAGAAATTTGATTTTTTTGTGATTCATCCATGTTTAGTGAAAAGAAGGAAGAATATCATTTGAAATAATGGCGTGTGTGATGTCATTCCAAAGCAATCTATTGACATTTGACATCTTGTATTTGGATTGCCTATGGATTAAATGGCCGTCATCTGGTATGCTTGCTCACTAAATAGGAAAAACTCGCCATAAAAATCATATTTCCTGTTGAATTTTCTATCTTGAAATGTGCCATTAAAGTATACATCATGAGTATATAAAGTGTCCAATGACAAAATAAAAAGAGCAAGTACCTGTAAATGCATCCAACACAAGGGGGAAAAGAAGGCAAAATTCCGAACTTTTTCTTGAAATATATCGATAAATAGTGGTTTGTTCACATTTTCATTATCAAATTCGTGTTTTTCAGACAAAAATACGTAAGTACCAAAAAAATTTTTCGAAAAAAAACCCATCGCATGATGAGTGCAAAATTACCGTTCTTTGTACCTACCAGTCCAAATTTGGTAGGAATCTCACGATTAATGGTTGCGATATAAAGTTTCTCAGATTCGCTTCTCTATACAGGGATCTTGAATGAAGTTTCTTTATATGAAGGATCCTTTTTTTTTCCATGACTTATCACCATCTCAAATGTTTTACACTTATTCAGTTACACCCTGTATACAATCTGGCCGATGATGCAGGTATGTTGTATCCGAAACATATCCATTATCCCGATCTGCTCGATTCAAATAGTAAATTCAGTGATGGAGATGACTTCGTGATTTCTCTCTTCGCCTATGAGATTCTGCTCCATTCTATTTACAAATGTATATAGCCTGATTGTTAATTTCAGGTTGAATATCCAGGGGACTCACGGAAGAATTTGCAACCGAACCAGTCCGGGAATGGATGGTTGTCGGTTGCTTTGTTGTGGAAGAGGATACCAGACAAGAGTGCGAGAAGTCGAAGAAAAGTGCAATTGCAGATTCGTCTGGTGTTGCAATGTCGTTTGTGATATCTGCAGATCCCGGAAGGAGGAACATGTTTGCAATTAATTTTGTACAAATCAAGATTGACTGAAGAGAATTTTCTGACAAATCATCACAGGCGAGAGTTGAATGGTCGGTAGTCCTGTGGTCTCGAATGATATTATGTACAGATGTGCCAAAATGAGGAAATCTAGGTCTGCGAACACATGAGTTGACTGTCGAAAACAGTACACCTAGATGATTCATTCGTGAAAAATATGTCCTACGAAATATGCACGTGATGCTGTTTCTTTCTACTTTCTGAATCCATATATATTACTTACTTCGTGCAGCTTGAAATATCTGATTACTACATATTTTCTGTATGAATATTTGATAGTAGGCATTTACCTAGTTTGTGAATAATTGAATCTAGGGGTGAGAATCAGGATCCCTCGAACTCTATAGGGATTCCCTTTCGTGCGCTCCAAGTGATGAAGAAAAGATACTTCTATGGAATGTATTTTCAATATATAGAGGTTACTGATCTCAGTATGGTTGACAATTAGTTCATAAGATTAGAATGGCCAAGAATACCTACCTGTCTACTTACCTATCCGCTGATAGATTAATCAGAATTGAAAGACATAGCTTAGTGTTTCCGCGATAATACAAGTTGTCTTTGGCTTGTGATTGGTCAGATTATGTGAAAATTTCAAGATGAGTGATATAGTAAAAAAAATTTTTTGGAATTGTCTGTATTAGGATTGTTATTGCATTTTACTCAGCATGACTTTGGATATCAGAATATATCTTTTGATTGAACAACTTTACTTCAACCATATAATGCAAACTTGAAATTGAGAAATAAACGAATCAGTGATATATCTATATCAATAAAGAAAGGTAGGTGGGTATAAATAACAAACATCATCAGATACAAAAAAGTGTGTAAATTTTGATAAAAATATATATCATCCACCCAGACCCAGATTCATGTTGCATGTATATTATTGTATATGGATGTATAATGATTCGTTAATAATATGGAAGAAAGAAATTCCGTTGAATTAGGAATGTTTCAGAGGACTTTGAATCCAACAGTGACTTCAGATTTCTCAAATCTTTTCTGGTTTTTATGATATACCCGATGACATTTTTTATTCACATCTCAAAAGAACTTTTTCAATGCTCTTTCGGATGGCGATAGAAATTACATTAGCAGTCTCAGTTTCCGACTCATTTGTTACCTAGTACACAAATTTATGATTTCATGTGAATGCCATGAATTGAATAGAGCATTTTCTTCTATTTTCACTTATAATGAATAATTCATATACATGCGGTGAGGCGTCAGTCAACTTCGCTTTGTTGTCACTGTGTATTTAAGATTTTTTCATCACCTTATTATATTATATATATTCTCAAAAAGTGATCAATAAAAATCATGAATTGAATAACAGTAAATAAACTATCATCGTCTTTGTCATATCACAAAATATTGTTGAAATTTGAATGATGTCATTCGTATTTCAGACGACTATGATTCGGATGCATGGAAATTATATCATTTTGGAAGTACGAAAATATCCGTTTGAATCCAAATCGTACAGGTTGTCTCCTTATATTTTGACTCCTATACCTACATCTTCAACTATACGAGGTGGAAAAAACTTTAATCATGTATGAAAGTTGTAGGGTTTCATCCGTACTATGTTTTGGCACTCCTTTAACAAACAAATACGAATCGCAAAATAGAGAAAAGAGTACAAATCTGTTTTTTTTTTAAATGAAACACCCTTGGCAACTTTGATTCAATGCTATAAATACATGGAAAATGGCTTGAGGAAACATTAGCAAACTTTATAACCTCCCAATTCTCGACACTGTCCCAATGATAAAAAAAATAATCTGATACCTCCTTCATTTATTATCATAGGTACCATAATAACAGAGATCAGTCACCCACTTGACTGATCTCTGCAAAATAATAAGCAAGTAGGTTATTCCTACTATCCCAAGAATGTTCTGGCCACTGAGGCAGAAAATATTAATCCTATAAATTATTTAATTTCCTTATATTCTATCAATATACGTGAACTTGTACAAATCGTTGTTCAAAGTGCTAAAAGAGACTGGTGAATAGATTATGGTAGTTCTAGTTTGAAATTGTTCGGTTGCTTCATGGATAGAAGCGGAAATTTGGGATTTTTCACAATTATTTGGCATGAAATAAATAAGAATTTATTATATTGTACTGTCGATATCCGGTACATCAATTTTTGAACTCTTTGTACCATATATCGACATATCGATGAATGGTACAATACAGTTTCCTCTTTCTCTATGAATATTCAAATACAGGAAGAAAATAGTCTTGCTCTGGTTGAAGAATTCAGAAGAAATTATAATATGTTGAAGCTGTACCAGTTATCGACACCCACTTTTCCCGCTTCATCAAGAAGGTAGATTTGATGTATTTTGTGTCGGTGTTTGGTACTAATGAAGTCGATAGCTGGTAAAGTATTTTTCCAATAGAAATATAATATGAACAACGCTAAAAGATTACAGTATTCGACTGTACCGAACTACAGAAAAAAAAAAGGAATCAAACAAGAGCGGAGCGGAAGGAGAGAAATGCCTTAAATAATGGTGAAGCTAAAGTAGAAAATTATATCATCGAGAATATTTTGCCAAGTGAAGAAAGAACAGAACATCAGAATATGAAGGGATGACGTTAGTTTGGTATAATGTAGGCGAGATTCTTGTGAAGATCACGGAGATTTCTGAGTCAGTGGTTGAGTACCTACTCATGCCTATATTTGACTGTTTCAATTGTTTATTTTGTTCTATTTCAATGTTGTAGCTACGCCATTATTGAGAATAGGATTTTGTATTTTTAGTTTTAAATTATGTAAATTTTACATTACATAAGCAAGTACTTATACTTCGAAACAATTTTATCAATCATTGTCAGCATTATACAGGGTGTTCCGAAACTATTGTGCCAAAATGTAAGGGTGGGTAGATCTCGCCAAAACAAACGTTTTTTACTTATCAACCCATAGGCGCATGCACCTTATTTCGGTACCAATAGGTATCACAAGAAAAAAGTTTAACATATGTGCATACTCAAATAATATCGATATTGAGTGCCCAGCTCTACCGATTTTGACGTATGTACATACATAAATAAATAATATCGATATTGAGTGCTCAGCTCTACCGATTTTGACGATCGAGACCAATCGCTGCGCTCCCGACACTCGTATTGCGTATAGACTTCTCATTTATTATTGCGTCGTGGCAATGTGTAAAACCTATAACTCAATCTAAATTGTAGTGTTTTTTTTATAAACTCTCCCATATATTGCTTGTGATTTCATGTCATTTACTAACACGGTTTCCGGTACAAACACGTTTCCCCGTGTCCGAGGTTGGATACCACTGCGCGGACCTTAATGCGCTATTATCACTGAACGCATGCGCATGCGCCTATGGGTTAATAAGTGAAAAACGTTTGTTTTGGCAAGATCTACCAACCCTTGAATTTTGGCACAATAGTTTCGGAACACCCTGTATACATGTGTCAATATTAGTTATGACACAAGGGACCCCGCACCGCTCTTACGGGTTTTTGTGTCCCGGTCAAATCGGCTGGAATCATAGTATGTTGTAGTTTGTGATATCCTGATCAAAAGCTCTCATGAGTCCAACAGTCCAACTCAATCCTATGACTAGTTTTCGAGCAACAGCGACTCAAATGTTGGGTTGTGTGCCTTCAAGGATGTGGTAGAACAGACATATTTTTCTAAGTGAATTTGTGCCACATGAGCTTCAAAAAACGACTTGCTGATAGAATTTCAACCTTAATGATAAGTTTGTTGGAAGAATAATTCGATCAACTAAAATATTGATAACCAGGATGATGTCTCATATCTTGACAATCAATTTTGTTTTGTAATAATCATGAATTTTCGAATATCAAATGAAAAAAAAAACAAAATATTGAGAATTGCTTGAATTCCTGAACTTATTATTGAGGTTGAAATTCTATCAACAAGTCGTTTTTTGAGGCTCATAGGGCACACATTCACTTAGAAAAATATGTCTGTTCTACCACCCTTGAATGCACACAATTCAACATTTGAATCGCTGTTACTCGAAAACTAGTCATAGGATTGAGTTGGGCCCATGAGAGCTTTTGATCAGGATATCGCAAACTACAACATACTATAATTCCATCCGATTCGACCGGGACCCAAAAACCCATAAGAGTGGTGCGGTGTCCTTTTTCCATGTCGATAATTGGGTCAAATGGAACTTTTTAACTATTTTATTTTTGATACATAAAGTATGTATTGCTAAATAAAATTTGAGCATTGTATAGTAATAATCAATATCATAATAATCCACAGGGAAGTTTTTGAATTCCCCTATGAAAAAGCAAAAAAACAGATTTGGGCACTTTTTATCATTTTGTGATCCGCATCTGTTTGTTTAAGAAGTGCCAAAAGAAAGTACAGATAAAATATTACAACATTCATATTCGAAGTTCTCTTCCACCTCGTGTATTGTTGAAGCTGTAGTTTGGAATCAAAATATACGGAGACGGGTGCATATATATAGGTACTCACTGCAGCATTGAATCTGGGACATAACTGGTATACAGTGAAGACCAAAAGTCCGTCGCCTCCCCCCTCCGTAACTGTATTAGTTTAAATTACGAATACATTGTGTTCCATTTGTAATCGTTTCCTAATTGCACCTGTGCAAAAATCGGCAAAATAAAATGATCAACTGTGTTCATAATTCCAAAATTAATACCTTTCGTGATGTTACACAATCCATCTAACTTTTTCAACACTCAACGTAGAATCTTAAAAAAAGCAGAAATGTACTTATATTCGAAAAAATAAACTTTCAAGTCGCTGCGCTCTTTTGAAACACTCTATATAAATGGAATTTAAGCCATTGAATAGACCGAATCAAACCCTCTACAACTTATTCATTTAACATCTTTTCGTAATCAAATAATAACGGACGACGGACTTTTGGTTTTCACTGTATAACTCTCTGGTCATGTTGCTAATTGTCAAAAATGTGTACCTAGTTCTCAGTGATTTGATGTAACAATTTTGAAAACTTGTACAAAGAACAGTGTATTGATAGGGACAATTAGAAATAATCTATGGATATTATACAGTGTGGCATTGAAATGAGTGCAAATATGTCAAACCCTGAGGAAGCTCGAGGTGTACCACCATGGCACCAATAAAAACATTTAGGGATCAAATAAAAATTTGGGGTGAAAACTCTTTTTCCACCTAAAGTTCTACACTGTATAGCAATTCTGACGTCACCTCTCTTCAAATTTTCGTGCTGAAGGCACAATCACGCGCAGTACAATCATTTAAATTGTTCTAAAGTTCAATTTTTGTAATGAAATATCCTGTTGATCAAGAGAATCAAAAAAATCTGATATCATGGGAATCTTTGTTAGCTGTATCATATTGATATGCTGAGTATATTTGTACTTATTTCAAAAACACCCCGTATATACGTATATAGGTACTGAATATTTTTTAATTCATAATATACCTGTTAGTTAAGTGTAAATAAGTAGTACTAAATAAGTACCTTCCTATTGAGTAATGTATAGGTAGGTACTCATGCAATTATTATACCTACCTAACTGTGGAGAGCACGACAATGTAAATTATATACCTGTCTAACCAAATTATTCCTGCCAAATTTTATGTGAAAAAACTTCATGACATCTTTAGGGATGAATTTCATTACCAATACATCAAGATGAACTTTTTTTAATTCCATTACATATCTTTATCATTGTATGATCATCTGTCTATAGAAACATTGCATAATACCGAAAGTTTAGTTTTCAAAATATGTTGCGAAATAACTGTTATTTGGTTCAAATGAAAATTAATGATCTATCGATGCAAGATATTATCAGTGTGAAGCAAAAATACAATACCTATATAATATGATGGATGATTTGAGGAGAATGTAACTAAATTTATTGTTGGGTGCTGCGGAAAATGATTCGTCCTTCATGAAAATATCTTTTCTCTTTTAGTTTTTTTTTTCAGGTTGTGTATATGTACCTACCAATTGTTGATTCATTTCTCATAGTTTTCCAGCCATATTTTGAAAACGACAATTATGTTTTAGAATCCCTGCCAAATCAATGGTCAGCAAATTCATAGAATATTAATAAATTTTTCAATTCAACTCACTCTATTTGACCCAATGGCGAGAGAGAGGAATAAAACGATCTGTATATTTCTTTCATAAATAATATACTTTTACTTTCAAAATCAGAAGAAGGATCTGAATTGAATTCGAACATTTGTATATTAATTAAATCTAAGTCTTATTGAACTGTAAATAATCTCACTCTATTTATTGATTATATATAAATATATTATAGGTATAATATAGTAGGCGTAGAATTCGCTAGTATAGAGATAATGACTATTAAATAACATTTGGTGTACAAAATCGTCTTTCATTTATTATAGGAAGTGATCGAAATAGAGGTGAAAGTATAATATGTTCTGAAAAAGTTAGTAACCAATGGAAAACTTTTTCATCATATTAGTTTTGAGGAAAAAAGTCATTCCTCATAAAAAGTTCTTCAAGGTCAAAAATCAAAAACGTGGTAATTATATATCGATTTTTTTCAGTCGTATACGAGGTATGTCCAAGAAAACATATTGCTTAAGAGTAAAGTACCAACCTTTTTATTTTCGAAAATTATCATATAGAGAAGTTGACTAGAATTGAAAACTCATTCAGCTAAATTGATAACATCTATACAAGGCATCTACCTACGATGAAAATCGCATGTTTTATTTTTTCTCACAATAATTTCTGATCGATTCATATGGTAAACTTTTTATTATTAATTTTACGGAAAAATCGAGGAAAAAAGTATATTTCATAAAAAGTTCTGCAAGGTCAAGAATTAAGAATGCAGACATCAGATATATATGTCCTTTTTTTTAGTCATATATATGTCAAAAAATCTTGAAAGAATTTGTAAAAAATATTAAAATC